CGTTTCATAAGCGACTGCGTGCATCGCTGTGGGACTAGGTGGTGGAATTGCACACCGCTCCGAAGCTACCATGCTCAGCAAGGTAATGAAAACCAAAAACATACATAATCCTAATGAACAATCTGGGGTAGTGTATCGCATCCCATGCCTAAGCTGCCTTTGCAACTGCACAGAACAAACTGAAAGTATACTCGGATCGCGCATGCATGAAAATAAGCTGGCTGTTCGACGAGGCATCGCAATTCCGGCTCACACCTGTGAAACAGGCCATGAGTTCAACTTCGCGGCATTCAAGGTACTGGCTCCCGCCGGGAACAAAATGAGCCGAGAATTCATTGAATTCTGGTCCACGATGTATCGAATTAGCACCAGCGTACAGAGGCCTGCACGGTCACGTACAGTCACGTCCAAACTCCGTCACTGACAATTAATCGACGTACAGTTGCCTCATTTTCGTTGTTGACTCCCCGCCGACCTTTGATCTAACTGATAATTAATAAGCGCATACCCCTTCCCTCCATTTTGATTGCTTTTTCCTATTCCTAATGACCTCTCACGGTTGATTGGAGTAAAGCCACTATAATTACCCCCTTTTTGTTGATGTTTCCCATCTCCGAAGGTGGACATCTGTAATAGTTCGAAAGCTCAGGACAATAAACAAATTGCTCCGATGCTTGACAAGCCCTCTTCCTTACCTATTTAAATGCCTGTAACGTGAATTTTTCCATTCATTCATAAACCTAAACCGCAGTCTTTATCTTGAACCTAACCCTGTAGTTAACGTTAACCCTACCCCTCAGCGAAACGGAACCCTAAATTATTTTAAAGCCAACTTCAAACCTAACTGTTATCTTAACGCTTACCCTAACCATAAATATAATCTTAATTTTTCTGGGTTGTGGCACAAAGACCCCTATGCTTCAGGCGGTTCATGTACTTATTTCCTGTTTAAAGTACCATATAAGTCATTCTTACAGAACGTAGTTCAAAGTTCCCGAAGTTAGCGGATTCCTATTTGCGTAAGTTGCTATATTACTTTGAAACTTCAACTTAAACAAAGAAATTAATACGAGGGGGGTTATTTAGG